TGTCACACTTCGGGCTCTGTGATGGGCCTGCGTCTCGTTCCCGAATGCCGCAGGTACTGTATGAGACTCTGCTCTGCTGCATGATATGAAATCCTGACTCCTTTGACCTCTCTGTGGGAGGGCAGCCTTGCAAATACACAGCAACCAGGAAACGTGTCTTTTGCCCCTGGTAGACTTAATTGTAAGGTTTCAGAGAATTATCTTTTCTCCTTGGAAGGTGTTTTATGGGTACATGTGTATTAACTATTACTGAGTAATAAACCCCTCCAAACATAGTGCCTTAAAACAACAAGGCCTTTATTATTTATTCTGATTCTGTGGGTTGGTGGGGCCATTCTCTGACTGGTCTCACCTGGGCTCACTCATGTAGCTGCATTCAGTTGCTGGCAGTTCTGAGATGGCCTCAGCCACAGGCTTGGTAGTAGGTGCTGACTGTTGGCTGGGATACCTCGGTGCTCCTCCACATGGCCTCTCCTCTTGCAAAAAGTCAAACTGGCTTTCCTGTACAGTGGCCTCAGGACAGCATCCCAAGAGACACTAATACACAAGGCTCTGCTTGGGTCATGTTTGCTGATGTCCCACTGGTCAAGCCACATGGGTAAACCCAGAGTCAGCCAGTCAGGCAGGAGGCTTGGAGCTCGCCTCTTGATGGGAGCAGTAATAAGGAATGTGTGGCCAATTTCAATTCACCACAACATGTGTGAGAGTCAGAGACAGAGGGAAGCAGAACCTGATCCTCACCTAGCGGCTGCACAACTGAGAAGACAGAAGGATGTATCCATGGCACAGAGGTGGGGAGATGTCGAAGAGGGGATTGGGGCTGGGCATGGTGTCCACGCCTGTAATCCCAGCACTTTGGGAGGCCAGGTGGGTGGACTGCTTGAGGCCAGGAGTTCGAGACCTGCCTGGACAGCATGGCGAAACCCCATCTCCACTAAAAATACAAAAATTAGCCAGGTGCATTGGCACATGCTTGTAATCCCAGCTACTGGAAAGGCTGAGACATGAGAATCGCTTGAATCCAGGAGGCTGAGGTTGCAGTGAGCCAAGATTGCACCATTGCACTAAAGCCTGGGTTACAGAGCGAAACTTCGTTTTTTTGTTTTGGTTTGGTTTGGTTTCGTTTCGTTTAAAAAAAAAAAAAAAGAGTGGATTTGGAGGACAACCACCTGAGATTGCGCTGGAAGAGCTGGAGCCAAGGCCTCCCCTAGCTGTCCCACAGGCTCCTGCTCTCTGAGGCTTTACCTTACACAGAGGAGGAACTGAGAACATGTGTTGCTGGAGGAATGGAAGGAAATGCTAGGGAAAGACCAGTCCTGCCAGCAGGGAGAGAATTTTCCAAAAGCTGCATGAAAACCAGAAGAAAAATGATCTCTTTAAGGAGGCTGCAGGCCCGAGCAAGGCCAAGAACTGGGTGTGCTTCAGAGGGGACTCCCGGTGGCAGCCACAAAGGTGCATGCTCCAATCTCCCTTCAGGGAGAGCATGCATTTCAGCTACAAGACACGCAACTGGCTGCTCCTGCTGCTACAGCTTTTAGGGTCCATCTCTGCGTGCAAGTTCTAGCCAAGGCCGTACTCTTCCCAGGAAGCCCCCTCAGCCAGTGACTGAGCATGGTGGGGGTTCTCAGACTTGGCCATTTCTGTCAAATGTGGGATTCTTCCAAGACCCATCTTTGCTCTAGGACTTTGTGCTGCATTGACGGAATGTCAGATCGGCATCATAGTCTGAAGGTTTTCCCTAATTCCTCCCTTTTTTACCTTTCATAGCTGCTGTGCCCAATACGCCCTTTGCTTGGCTAACATTTACTGAGCATGTATTATGCATCAGGCACTGTGCTAAGGGATCTATGTGCCTTGCCATTTAGTCTCTACAGCAATCCTATCAGATAGGAACCGATAGCACCCCACGTTATCGGTGAGGAAACAGGAACAGAAGGATGATGTGGCTCACCTTGCGTGTGGGGAGAGGGGAAGCACAGCCAGGAAGAGGTGGAATCAAGATTGGGTTTGGGGATCGGATCTGCACCCTCCGCAGGGGAAGACACGCTTCTCACTGCTCTGTCCTTTCCCCTGGATGTTTTCCAGGCTCTAATTTCCTCCAGCTTTGAAAAATGAACTTTCCTTCTTGGAATTTGTCCAATTTTGGAATGATGTTTCCTGGTCTAGTCACAAATTCATCAGCAAGAGCTAAAATTAAGGGCTTCCCCTCGGTAGGGTGTCCCCCAAAGTCCTGCCTTGGGGACTTGACTGACCAAGTAAAGGAAAGCACTTACTGTGCAGATAGCACAGGAAGAACCGCTTTGGCTTCCCCGAGATCAGCAGGCCCTGAAAGGCAAAGACCTGGGTTTGGAAGGTGCTGCCCGTTGGAGGAAGACTGGGGCTTCTCCGCCTTTCACATCAGAAATGTGCTTCTGAGAACAGCATGGGGACGTTCCCAGCAGGGTGCCTGCCTCTCCGAGTCACACAGGGTTAGTCACTCCTCTTGCCCCAGAGGCTCTGCTTAGCTCTTCTGTCTGTCAGAATCTCAATTTCATCTATACCTCACAGCCACAGACTTTCAACTGTAGACCTCCATGGTCTAGATATTCTCTACCCACTGTCACCCCCAAGGAGCTGGTCTCCAAAGTCTCCTCTGTGTAGGAGATTCAGCAGATCCAATGAATGAAATAGACCAGAGCAAGAATTTGATTTTGAAATGAAATCAAAACAGAATCATCCAGCACAAACCTGGCTTCCAGCCCAGGCACCATGTCCTGGAAAATAAGTCACTGTGTGAATTTGGGACAACCACTTACCTCTTTGAGCCTGTTTTCTCATCCGCAAATGGGGATAATAATAGTACCTGCCTAATGAGGATTTCACGAGGATCACAGGCAGTATGCTCAGCTCAGCACCTGGCACAAAGGCAGCTCTTAATAGATCTTAGTTACCATCTCATTTTGGGTCCCTTGAAGAGTAGGACTTCTTGAACCTACTTCAAGGTTGACTTATGAGGTAATCTCAGGAAGCACAGTTGGAAGAGTGAAAGGAGAAAAGCCATTAAAAGTTGTCATCCCGAGTGGCTTCCTACTGTGGGCACCTAGGGCTCAGGCCCTCTAAGAAACAGTGCGGAATATGCATGAGAACTGCCGGGAAGCTGGAGCGCTTGTCCCCAGACTCCCAAGCCTCATATATAAGGGATGCCCTGGGAGGCAGTAACAAGCCCCACAGCACATCTGGGTGCACCTGTGTGAAGAGGGAAACCCTCAGCCCAGTGAAGAGAGCCCAGTGTTCAAGAAGGAACGTGGTCAGCTTGCAGGCCAACTCAGGAGGGCAGGAGGGTGTCGGGGGCGTTCCTTCTGCTCCAGTTCCCATTAATGTGACTGCAATGACAAACACGGGTAACAGGGTATGTTATCTTGTGTTACTCACGTAAATATGTAGACCACGACAACTCAGTCCAATTTTCATTGTCTTCTGTGATGCTCAAATTTCAATAAATACCCTAACGGGCTTCATGGTTCATTGCAAAGGAAAGAAGGGGAATGACCAGTTATTTTATTAAGGAGTTTCATGGCCAGGGACTGTGCTAAGTATGTAATCCTCATACAACTCATGAACTTGGATATGAATATCCCCATTTTGCAGAGAACAAAACTGAGGCAAAGAGAGGTTATATATCTCGCACAAAATCCTACATCCTGTAAGAGGCAGAAATGGAATGCAAATACACAAAATAAGACTCCACTGTCAATCATCTAAACCTTTGTGGAATTGAACTGAAAATGGCATGATTTTATGAAGTGGTTTGGAAGCCTGCTGAGTGGGTGGGGCAGGCCAGCACTCAAAGTCAGGCGCTAAGAAGACTGAGTTCAAAGGCCAGGCACGGTGGCTCACGCCTGTAATCCCAGCACTTTGGGAGACAGAGATGGATGGATCCCCTGAGGTCAGGAGTTCGAGAACCTGACCAGCATGGTGAAACCCCATCTCTACTAAAAACACAAACATTAGCCAGGCGTGGTGGCAGGCGCCTGTAATCCCAGCTACTCGGGAGGCTGAGACATGAGAATAGCTTGAACCCGGGAGGCGGAGGTTGCAGTGAGCCGAGATGGCGCCATTGCACTCCAGCCTGGGCAACAGAGTGAGACTCTGTCTCAAAAAAAAAAGAAGGCTGAGTTTGTAACTTTATTAGACACCTCCCAAGGGCTTTCCTCTACACCAGAATGATGTCTCTTCTGTTATTAGGGAAGCTGTATGGAGTACCCTTGACATAACTAACTCCATCTTAGGAAAAGGCTCCACTTGATAATTCACAGGGCACTCTGCCAACAAGGATAAGATGTTTTGTTTAATAAACAAATGTAAAAAGTAAAGACCGCATCCAACCAGACAAGGACACAAACAAGCCCCTCTTCCACTATCAGTTCTCGCCAGAGGACTCTGTGACCATAAAAGATTAGGCCTTCGGCAGCTCAAATGGTCATCTTAACTGACACCATCTGGCTGTCACTCATGATAAGAACTTGACATCTGCTGCCAAAGGCTCTGCCACCTCAAAGACTCTTCCTTGCAAGACCAAGAGACTGCCCAGCCCAGAACAGGACACCTTGTGTCTTCTTTGCTCCCCCTGGACTGGTTTATTAACACTTTCTTCTATCTCTTTTTCCCCTTGATGTTAAATGCTCCATTGTTGTGGAATGTTTGATCTGTAACACTTCAAGTACAGTATCATGCATGGTTTGTGGTATTGACTGACTTACGGAGTGCCCGCAGCTCTGACTGTGGAGTCAGTGGGAAGTATTCAGGAGAACTCCCTCCTTGGGAACTCCACAGACCTCGTGGCTTTTGTGATTGGATCACAATCAATACAAGCCTGACATTGTGGAAAGACACAAGCATGTGTGGACCGGGCTATTTCTAACCTGGCACCACTCATGACGGAAGCCAAAGGGACAATTTGCATACGTAGAATGAGAATGTTTGGCCTTCAGATGGACTTCATTCATTGTTAGTCGTGCTCCCTTTCATTCTCAACGGTCCTGGTTTGGACAAGACATTGTACATCTCCCTATACAAAATGCTATTAAATTAACAAAGAGCTTCTGCACAGATTATTTTATTTTATTCTCCCCACAACCTCAAGAGGGAGCTGTTTACGACACCACTTGATGGAAGGGCAAATCAAGACCCAGAGGGGCTGCCCTGAAAAGCCCTGGCCGAGACTGGAACCCAGACATCTCTTTTGATTCCAAAGCCCAGGGTCTTTCTGCTTGATCTTCATGCATTGTTCTTACATTGATTCGGTCCTTTATTTATTTATCTTTCACTCGTTCATTCTTTCTTTTTCTTTAGAGCACACCGTGCCAGTTTTTATGTTTCTCTCTGCTTCCAGAAGTTCAGGGTACAGAATGAAGCAAAAACCAGGCTTGACAGCAGTGAGCCATCTTCACACCACTGCACTCCAGCCTGGGTGACAAATGAGACCCTGTCTCAAAAAAAGAAAAAGAAGAGAAAGAAACTCAATTGTTATGCATCTCCCTGTGGATTTTATCAACCAGGAAGGATAAACTGGGAGCGCAGGAGAGGCAACTGGAGGTTGACACCAGCCCACACAGATTATCACCTGTTCTTCTAAGAGCTGCTCCAGAGAACTTTCATTACCTGAGAGACTTTTTGTCTGTAAACAGGACAGCGTTTATCCCCATGCATTTCCTCCCTCACCCTCCCGTAACTAGTATCTCTACCACCCTCCGGAAGCCCCAAGTCCCTGTCCGTTTCTGTAGCTCAGGATGCTATCTAAGCTTCAATCATCTGGTCATTTCTCCAGTGTCATACTCTGTGGAACTCCTGTGCATACATATGTAATTAGCTTTTCTCCTGTTAGTCTGTCCTATGTCGATTTGATTCATAGCCTAGCCAATGAACCTAGAAGGATGGAGGGGAGTCATTATTCCTCCCCTAAAACATAACATCTATGTATATGAAATTGTTAACAATGCTGAATTTGTATGGGCCTGCAGCAACCTCAATTCTTGCCTGCTCAGAAGAAAGAATTCAACTGAGGGACAGAAAGCAGAGTCAGAGACAGAGGCAAGTTTTAGAGCAGGAGCGAAAATTTATTGAAAAGTTTAGAGCAGCTGGGTGCAGTGGCTCACACCTGTAATCCCAGCACTTTGGGAGACTGAGGTGGGCGGATCACGAGGTCAGGAGTTCGAGACCAGCCTGACCAACATGGTGAAACCTGCTCCACTAAAAATACAAAAAATTCGCCAGGCATGGTGGCACATGCCTGTAGTCCCAGCTACTCAGGAGGCTGAGGCAGGAGAATCGCTTGAACCCAGAAGGTGAAGGTTGCAGTGAGCTAAGATCATGCCACGGCACTCCAGCCTGGGAGACAAGGAGAGACTCCGTCTCAAAACAAAAAGTTTAAAGCAGGAATGAAAAGAAGTAGACTGGAAGAGGGCCAAGCAGGTGACAAGAGATTCAACTGTGTTGTTTGACCTTTGACTTGGGGTTTTACATGTTGGCACACTTCCAGGGTTGCATTACTTCCCTGATTCCTCCTTGGGGTGGGCTGTCTGCATGCACAGTGGCCTGCTAGCACTTGGGAGGGGCTGCAAGCTCAGTGTGTTTACTGGAGTTGTACGCATGTTCGTTTGAGGCATTCTTCCATTACCAGCCAAGTGTTTAAACCCTGCCATGTTGCCTCTTAGTGAGCATGCTTGAACCCACTCTCCCAACTTTTGCTATCTTATTGGGAAGCTGCTGATCACCAATTGCAGGTTTTGTTTTTTTTTTAGACGCGGAGTCTTGCTCTGTCGCCCAGGCTAGAATGCTGTGGCCCCATCTCGGCTCACTGCAAGCTCTGCCTCCCAGGTTGCTGCCATTCTCCTGCCTCAGCCTCCCGAGTAGTTGGGACTACAGGCACCCACTACCACGCCCATCTAATTTTTTGTATTTTTTTAGTAGAGACAGGGTTTCACTGTGTTAGCCAGGATAGTCTCGATCTCCTGACCTCGTGATCCGCCCGCCTCAGCCTCCCAAAGTGCTGGGATTACAGGCGTGAGCCACTGCGCCAGGCCTCAGGTGTTTATATCTATTGGGAGATGGCCTTTCCCTAGCGCCGGTTGCACCCAATTATTATTTTAGAGACACAGTTCACAACTGCCTGACCATCACCTGATGGTCACCTCCCATTCCTGGTGGGAGGGAAGGGGGCCCCTCTCCTCCCCTGCTCATGTCTGCCTGACTACCTACTGTAACAGAATTACCACTTTGTACACCTTGAATATATTCAGTCTTCATGTCTCAATGTCATATTTTAAAATTAAAAGAAGAAAAAGCAGGCTTGAGTCCTTGTCTCAAAGCCCTTGGAATTCTTCACATACTATAGTGTGGTCACAGCTCTTTGAAACTTTCTCTAGGTTTAAATCCTGGTTTTGGCACTAGCTAAGTGACCCTACCTGGGCAAATCTCAGATTCTTCATCTGCAAAATAAGATAATCAGAACAAGTGCCCACCTCGTGAGCTGCTGGGAGGAGAAATGAGATAAAGCATGGGGACAGCTTGGCACCACGCCCTGTACACACAAAGCACTCAGCAAAATGCAAGCCAGTATTTCCTTCATCAGGCGGGAACCACAACCCCGATCTAACCTAGGGGATGGAGTGAGCTTTAGGAAACCAGAGGATTGGGGTTTTGCTTTTTGTTTTTAGCTCTTAGCCAGGAACAATAATTGAAAATATTATTTCTCCCCCAGGGAACACGGGCCGTGTTTTAAAGAAAACAACTGGGGGTGTGGGGTGAGGTAAAGGGACTTGGGAAATGTTGAGCCTTGATTTCTGCATCTATGCTCCATTTATCCTAAGAGGAGAGTTCCCGTTTCATCATACAAGGAAGGCAGAATCAAAGGGGGCACATTTGCATCATAAAAGAGGTAATTGAATTCAAACATGTGGAGTCTTCACCTTTCAGAGTCCCCAGTCCTTTTGTTCTCCCTTCTAATCATTCCTGGCAGTTTTTGTAAAAGGCTAAAATGTGGCACAGGAAGATATCAATACAAGAGGGAAAAGAAATATGGTCATAAAAGGGGTTAATTCGAATTGTGGGCAGAAAGCCTTTTTTCTTCTTTTTTCCCTTTTCCTGTGAGGGACTCAGGCCCAGAGAGAGGGAGCTGTGACTGGCAGCCACTGAAGAAAACAGCAACTGAATTCCTGCTTTCCTTTTCTTCCTTTTTTCTCCACCCAATGCGCTGGGGGTGGGGGGGGAGGGTGGTATTTCTTCAAAGAGTAATTTTTAAACATCTGTACACATCTGTTTTTAAAAACAAAACAAAACAAACTAAAGTTATTCACTAAATGCAAACAAAACACTTGAAAATCTACTGAAGTTTCAATCTTATGACCAATTAGAGAGGCAGAAAGGCACTGACTGAGGGTTACACTTCATCTCCTCAAAGTTAATGTGTTCATATTATTTCTATTTTGCAGATGAGGCAATTGAGGTTCAAAGAGTTCAAGAAAATCCTAGAAATCGAATGAAGGAGGCATTGAATTCCATTCTTTTTACTAGAAATAAATTTAGAAAAAGACAAAAGAAGAAAAGGAAGGAAGGAGAGAGAAAAAGAAAAAAGAAAAGGAAGGAAGGAAGGAAGGAAAGAAGGAAGGAAGGAAGGAAAGAAGGAAGGAGCATCTTATTTGGTATTATAAAGTGAAAAATATAAGCAGATAGATTCTGAGACACACATTGAGCCAGAGCTGAGTATCAGAAATAGATACAGAAAAATAAAGGCTGTGTGCAAATGTTATCCAGCAAATGGGCTTGCTGCCGGATGCGCATGGAAGCCAATACCATGGCACCAGCGCTTGGGGAAAAAAAAGGCTTTATTCCAAAGCCAGCCAGCAAGGAGAACAGGGTCCCAAGTTTGGCGTCTGCAGCAAGTTTTAGGGATCAGAGGGCAAGGGAATGGATTTAGGAATGCTGGCTTGTCAGAGTCTGGTTGGAAGGCTTTAAATTTGACCATTTATGGTAAGGTATGCTGAAGTGGATGTTAGTCCTATACCTTTTGAACCAATGGACCCCTCACTTCCGAAAGAGTTCCAGCGGTGGAGTTCCAGGGCTGGAGTTCCGGTGGTGAGGTTCCAACGGTCAGGTTCGGACCAAGTCCCAGGCTTCCTGGTCCTGTGGGGAGGGATCATTGTTTCTAGGTGATGTTAAGTGAGAGCTTTATCCTACTGCGTATGCCCACGCTAAGCGACTTGAAGTTTTGTCTCTGTTCTACCTACAAAGTAACAGGACGCTTTCTTAACAGTGGGCTCAGTTTGGGCTGGTCCTGCAGTCACAGAAATAAACCTCCTGTGGGTGCATGAGTAAGAAAGTGAAGCCCAGCCAGGCGTGGTGGCTCATGCCTGAAATCCCAGCACTTTGGGAGGTCGAAGCAGAGGTCGGGGGAGTTGAGGAGGGAAATCGCTTGAGGTCAGGTGTTCAAGACCAGCCCGGGCAACATGGTGAAACCCTGTCTCTAATAAAAGTACAAAAATTAGCCGGGCATGTTGTATGCCTGTGGTCCCAGCTTCTCAGGTGGCTGAGACAAGGGGATCACCCGAGCCCAGGAGGTGGAGGTTGCAGTGAGCCAAGATCGTGCCACTGCGTTCCAGCCTGGGCGATAGAGCCAGACTCTGTCTCAAAAAAAAAAAAAAAAAAAGGTGAAGCTGCCTGGTAGGGACCCTGTAAATAGCATGTGTCCCTTCTAAAATGTCAAGTTAAAGACAGTGAAGACAGTGGCAATGTAGTTTATCTCCCCAAGTCCTCTCACAAACACAAACAGAATAACTAGGATAGCAAAAGAAAAAAGCCTCAGGCACCATATTTAACACAGTGAGGTGATTGAGTATCCTAGAATACAGGAAGCTGGAATGGGGCACGGAGTGCAGCTCTGTGGCCTTTCCGGGGTCTCCAAAATGCAAAGAAAAAAGAGCCACACAGAGGGGACACTGATAAGAACAGAATACAAGATGACCAGGGTAGGACATTTGCAGGTAAAGGTGGGAAAAGGTTTGTTAAATAAAATTTATAGGAAGCCATGGTTTTGGACTGGTTACAACTCAAACTAAGAACAAAAACTGCCCTCTTGAAGTCCTGTGAACAGAAACTGGATATAAACTTCAAGGGAAAAGTCTCATGCCTGATGCCTTATGTGCGGGCCACACAGAGAGTTCACCAAAATGCCCAAAGCCATAGCCAATGACATTCAAATTGCAAACTGAAGTGAGAAGCTGATAGCTTCAGGCTGTGGATAGAACAAAACTCTCTGTCATAACGAGACTCTTACCCCTCTTAATTTTTCTTTGCTTTTATGCCTACCTTTTTCATTGGGCAGGATAATGCTATAGTTGGAATTTCTGTGGTTGACTTGACAAAATATTGCATCTGTCATGCCTAACCCAAACCTTTACATGACCTAAAGGATCTTAGTCCACCCAGTGAATAACTTCAGCAGCTTCCCTAATGCAACTGTAGTTCAAACTGTGCTTTTATGGAGTCAAACTTCTAGCCCCACCTGTTCTCACTCTCTGCTTTAATGTAACCCGGTCATGGGATACTGGTTAATAGACTTCCCTGCTAGGTGAACAGGGAGGAGTCTATGCAGTGGCTGATGCTTCTTGTTACATATGGATGAATAAATTGGGTATTGTAGAGACTCCGTGAAAAAATTAACAAACTGGCTACTTGGTTAAAATGGAAAGACTTCTCATCTGGCTCATTCTTTGATCTATTTGATTTTGAGTTTCATTGCTCATTCTTTGATCTATTTCATTTTCATTGGTTTGGGTCATGGAATATGCCCCTGGCTAAAGAGCATTCACCAAACTCTTAGTATTATACTCCTGGGAGTCATAATAGTAGTCTCTTTGGTGTGTGGTATCCTCTCAAAAAACCTTAAATGCCTCCATGCAGCCATTTGCTGAATATTGAATGGTCTCTGGTTGGAATGAGGAAAATGTCAAGAAATTAATGATAACAAGGACAATGTAACCTATAAATGACATTTTGACACCAAAAAACAAAGATGATGTTGACTGAGAGTAGAGTTGATGCCTTAAGTTTTGGTCACACCGTCATCTAGGTGAATGCCTGGCCAAAGGTGGGAATTGCTAAGTAAAGCAATTGGTTTGAATGGAGCTCCTGAATTAGGCCCAACAGAACAAACCAGAGGGAGTCACTCATGCTAACGTTCCACACTACCAAGCTGAAACAAAATTGTTTATCTAACCTTCCGAGAAATCAGAAAAAAGAGAGAGAAAGATAATAGCCAAATCTCCAAACAGCCAGTCTTAGCCAGCATGATACAGAAATTCCCTCTGCTTTCACCTTTATAAGAAAAGTAACTTCAAAATGACCTTTTTTGAAGGTCATTTTTGTGTTTTTGTGTTTTTATTTCTACTTTTCTCAGCCCTTTTCTGCTTACAAAATCTGCTCAGCTCATTGGAACACTTATTCTATTTTACAGAATGAGGTGTTATCCAATTCTACAATCACAAATAAAAGTCAATAAAGATCTTTAAACTCGATTTTGTTGTAAATCTGTAGGATACTTGAAAGGGGGTGGGATGCTGAGTGGAGGAGAGAGATCTCTCCAAGTACTGGGGAGCTTTCTGCACTGAAAGGTCCAATTTTTTTTTTTTTCTTGGAAACAGAGTTTCGCTCTTGTTGCTCAGGCTGGAGGACAACGGCATGATCTCAGCTCACCACAACCTCGGCCTCCTGAGTTCAAGTGATTCTCCTGCCTCAGCCTCCTGAATAGCTGGAATTACAGGCATGTACCCATGCCTGGCTAATTTTTTGTATTTTTAGTAGAGATGGGGTTTCTCCATGTTGGTCAGGCTGATCTCGAACTCCCGACCTCAGATGATCGGCCCACCTCGGCCTCCCAAAGTGCTGGGATTACAGGTATGAGCCACTGCGCCCAGCTGAAAGGTCCTATTTTTTAATGTTTTGTGAAAGCAACAGAAGAGCCATACACTGTGAGATATCAAAGAGAAGTAGCACTGGACCTTTATCAATGGTGGCAAGACAGATTTTACCCTGACTATTGCAGCAGGAAAGAGAGACTCCAGCATAAACAGAGCCCGACTCCAACTAAAACAAAGGTGACTGAGGTTTTTAAAGGGAAAACAAAGAGGAAATAAGAAGGAGTTATGGTGAAATGGAATATTACGGAGGGATATAAGTGAAGAATTACTGAAAATGGTTTGGCAATGTGAGTTGGAACTATGAACACTTTGCAGTTTGGCTGCACTGAGCTTTCTTGACCAAAGCCTCAGCACAGGGAATGGGGTTACCTTTAGGGTCATAGTCTAGTGCAGGTGGAAGCCAGGCTGAAGTTTGGTCAAGTTCCTTAGCACAATGTTTGGGCAAGTCCTTTCCGCTGCCTGAAGGTGCACAGTTCACAGCGGCTAGGAATGCTGGTCCACTCCTACCTCTTGCACAGTGTAGAAAAAAACATCATCTTCTTCAGTAGAAAACCAGGCATTATCAGCCGGGTGCTCTGGCTCATGCCTGTAACCCCAGCACTTTGGGAGGCCGAGGCAGGTGGATCACTTGAGGTCAAGAATTCGAGACCAGCCTGGCCAATATGGTGAAACCCTGTCTTTACTAAAAATACAAAAATTAGCTGGGCATGGTGGTGCATGCCTATAATCCCAGCTACTCAAGAGGCTGAGGCAGGAGAATCACTTAAACCCAGGAGGGGGAGGTTTCAGTGAGCCAAGATCACGCCACTGCACTCCAGCCTGGACGAAACAGTGAGACTCCGTCTCAGAAAAAAAGAGAGAAAAGAAATTATGCATTATCTAGGTGCACTCCTTATGCCTTATTAGATTCTAATTCTATGGGAGCTATTTTATAACTCTGAAAGTAGTATGTAAATGGTAGATATGCAGATTCTGCCCTATTTCGTAGAGATTTCATTGATTTCCCTCACCCCTACACACACACACACACACACATACACACACACACACACACACAGAGGTTTGTCTTCATTTGCAATTCATTTCCACATTCCTTGACTCCACATAAATTTGTGCTTTTCTGACATTTTCTTTGAACGACTTACAACATCTGCCTGCCTGGTTCTCTCATTGATTAACAAGTAATTTTGAACATACATTTATTTTTGTATCTGTATGAGAGTCCTGATTTTATTTTTTATGAAAATTGTCTTTTAACAACAGAACATCCTCTTAAAATTACAGGGAAACCCATCCCACTTAACTATAAGAAAACAGGAAAAGATTGTGGTCAAAGAATAAGAGAGAATAGGATAGTAATCATGGTAATATATCTATGAAAATAAAAACACATCAGAAACATATGACTCCAAGAAGAAAAGAATCATAATCTAATATTTCAAAATGAGCTAGGGAATTTTAAAAAATGATATGAAACAACAATCTGCAACAGAATTACAAAAGCCCAGAAATGAAATGGCTAAACGTAGGAGGACGTAGGACAAAAGCACTGAAAGTGCTCAGGAACAAATGACAAATAACATTTTTAAATTTAGAAATGGAGACTGAGGCTGGGCACGGTGGCTCATGCCTGTAATCCCAGCACTTTGGGAGGCAAAGGCGGGTGGATCACAAGGTCAGGAGTTCGAGACAAGCCCTGCCAATATGTTGAAACCCCGTCTCTACTAAAAATACAAAACAAAAAATTAGCCAGGCATGGTAGCACATGCCTGAAACCCCAGCTACTCAGGAGGCTGAGGCAGGAGAATTGCTTGAACCTGGGAGGCAGAGGTTGCAGTGAACCAAGATCACGCCATTGCACTTCACTCTGGGCAACAGAGCGAGATTCCGTCTCCAAAAAAAAAAAAAAAGAAATGAAGACTGGCCAGGTGCAGTGGCTCACGCCTATAATCCCAATCTCAGCACTTTGGGAGGATCTATTGAGCTCCAGAGGTCAAGGCTGCAGTGAGATGTGTTTGTGTCATTGTACTCCAGACAGAGCAAGACCTGTCTCAAAAAACAAAAAACACAAAACAGAACCAAAAAAACAGAGATAAAAAGAAATGAAGACTAACTTAAAATAAACACAAAAGTGAATAGATGCCATACAAAATTACTGTTAGAGAAACACAGAGTGAAAGAAGAAAAAAATGAAATAGAATACAAATG